TTTTATATGGTACATTACGTGTTACATGTTTACAGTTTTTCCCCAATGCCTATTACCTATATTAAATGGTGCTTTTCTAAACCAATCCATAAGTGCCAGCATCAGCAAAAACATGGAGGTAAGGAAGAAGAAAGAGGGAGGACAGGACCAGCCAAGAATTCCTCCATCTTAAAACTTCTGACCCCCATGTACAAAGTAAAAAGCCCCCTGTACAAGTATTAAAACTCCCCTGTACAGTGCTCAAAAATTCTTCCCTCTACTTTGTGACTACTTCTACTGTAACATCTAAATTTTTGTGACTTCTTGTTCTCCCTGCAAGGTTGGTAAATCCTTCCATGGCTCAAACCCAAAATCACAGCTGTTTGCAGCTGCCTGCCAGGGTCCCAAATGCTTCTGACCAGGGTCTGGAAAATCCAAAAATGTCCGAGGAACATTTTGAGTTCCGACACCAGCTCTCCGAGTGGACCCAGGCAAGGAGCAAAGTGCTGATCCTTTCATTCCACCTGCTCTGCCCCGCCTGGGTGAGGAGAAACGCTGTGGGTGCCATCTGTCACCTGCTGAGCTGTGACCCCTTTGTTCCCTTGCTGGTCCCAGGCTCCATCCTCACTTCCAGCCCCTGGAGCAGGATGGGTCTCAGAGGGTCCCTCTCCACTGAGGAGCTGAGATTTCACCAGAGGCAGCTTTGGGAATGGGCAGGGAGGGCTCTTAGCCCTCATCCCATCGCTTTCACAACGTTGGAGGTGCTCAGGGTGTGTTTGTGGTGGGGGAAATAAAAATAGAAATAAAAATTGAAGATCTAGATGAGGCACAGAACGATTTCCAGATAGAAAGTTAAAATTTTACATCATTTGGCTCTCGAGAGCAGCATGAGCCTTTATCTGCTCTCACAGCCCCTTCCAAACACAGATTACCCTGGCTAAAGTCCTCTTCTCCCAGGAACACTTTGATAAGAATCCCAAGAACAATTCCACAGGCTACCAAACTCCTGGGCTCACATGCTTGGTGTGGGGCTGGGCAGAAAATGCTGCTCACCCCCAGTTTGGGACAGCACCCCCAGTTCCAGCACAGGCACCTGCCCGAGTCCAGCCCCAAAAAACAGAATCCCAGAGTGAGATTCTACCTGGGACAGCACCCCCAGTTCCAGCACAGGCACCTGCCCGAGTCCAGCCCCAAAAACAGAATCCCAGAGTGGTTTGTGTGGGAAGAGACCTTCCAGAAACTCCAGTGCCAGCCCATGCCATGAGCAGGGACATCTTCCACTGCCCCAGGCTGCTCCCAGCTCCATCCAACCTGGCCCTGGGCACTGCCAGGGATCCAGGGGCAGCCACAGCTGCTCTGGGAATTCCATCCCAGCCCCTCACCACCCTGCCAGGGAACAATTCCCAATTCCCAATCTCCCACCCAGCCCTGCCCTCTGGCACTGGGAGCCATTCCCTGGCTCCTGTCCCTCCATCCTTGTCCCCAGTCCCTCTGCAGCTCTCCTGGAGCCCCTCCAGGCCCTGCCAGGGGCTGTGAGCTCTGCCTGGATCCTTCTCCTCTCCAGGTGAGCCCCCCCAGCTCTCCCTGGATCCTTCTCCTCTCCAGGTGAGCCCCCCCAGCTCTGCCTGGATCCTTCTCCTCTCCAGGTGAGCACCCCAGCTCTCCCAGCCTGGCTCCCGGGCCTCCTCTGGACTCATTCCAACAGGTACCAAATTTGGTTTGGATGGTCAAAGGAAACCCCCCAGGAAAGAGCAGCTCCAGGTCATCCCCCCACAGCCCAAAGCCTTGAACCAGCCCCTGCCACTGCACCCATGGATTGCTCCAGCCTGTTCCTCTCCTTGTCTGCACACCCCCCTTTTCCCTGGAAGCAGAGGAGTGGTGGGAAAGGGCAAAGCAACACCCGCCCAAGGCAGGCACCAGGAGTGAGAGGGGGCACCAGGTTTCACTGGGTGAATCCCATCCTTGGCAAGGATTTCTGTGCCCCCTCCAGCCCTTCCCTGGCCTGGCTGTGCAGGGATTCAGCCCCAGAGGTTGTGTCTCCACAGCAGCAGCAGAACAAGAAGCAACAAACCCCGAAGCCGTTGGACTGGACTCTAAGCCACAAAAAATCTCCACCTCAGCTTAATGCAATTTTGGGGGGCAGAATTCCAAATGCTTTACAAGATAATAGGATTGGAAGCACCAGTAGGGGAGGAGGAGAGACTGATGTAATCTCATTATCCCCAAAACAGCCTGGAACAAGAAAATAGATGCAAGGTTTGCAGCAAGGCAGGGGAGGAGCTCCAGAACCTCCGTGCCCATGCTTGGAAGGTACCTCAGGGAAGTTTCGACAGGCCCATGGCTTGGGAAACTTTCCTCTCTCCCTGCAAGGACTGGGGATAATATTCAATAAACAGCTTTTCCCCATGTTCCCACCTTGCTTGCAGAACTCCAAGAGCTGGGAAGAGGTTTTTTGGAGAAAGGGCAGCTGCTCTGCAGAGGTTTGCTGATGCAACCTTGGGAATCATGGAATGTCCAGGGTTGGAAGGGACCCACAGGGATCATGGAGTCCAACTGCTGCCCCTGCCCACACCCCCAAATCCCACCCGGGCACCCCTGGCAGCGCTGGCCAAACCCTCCTGGGGCTCTGCAGTGCCCAGCACCCTCTGAGGGAAGAACCTTTCCCAATATCCACCCTAAACCTCCCTGACACAGCTCCGTGGTTCCCTTGGCTCCTGTCCCTGTCACAGAGAGCAGAGATCACAGCTGCCCTCCAGCAGGAGGCTGCTGACACCCATGAGCTCTCCTCTCAGGCCCT